GTTGCATTCTTCATCACAGGCCAAAGAAATTCGTACTCGTTTTCTGCTATGGCATGCTCTATGGGTCTCACGAACACCTGTAAATATCAGTTTTGTTTTGGAAATCTCAGAGCTATTTGCATGAGAATCGTTAAAGCCGTGGCCCAACTATCAGCTTCAACTTCGAAGTATTATAGCTTGGAACTTGGTTGTCCCAGGCAGTTCTGTGGCGAGAAGTTTGTCTTTTCCGAGATTCCATTTTTTTCATCCAATAAGGGTCTCGTTACGCACACTCCATGTTTGTCCTGCTACTGTTCCTAAGAAGTTGCACCCCGCCTTTAAGCAAGCAGTAATTCTGGCAACCATCAACGATCATAAGTAAGGATGCTGTTAGGGCGTATCTTTGGTTCGGGTCATAAGGCCACTTCGGGTCATCAGTACGCTTTGGGTGATGGGAGGACCAATGGTATTCGAGTATTTTCACTAAAATGCGCCTGATTGGTCTTCCAGGAATCTCGGATGACCCGAACAGTGCATGACCCGAACCAAAGATACGCCCTTAGAGAGTCTTGTGAACTAGGTCGGGTGTTTACTGTAGCTGCGTAGTGTTTCTCAAGAAACGTCGGGCAGAGACGTCAACGTTGTGTCGACGTCCGTTAGTCACAGTTTACAGTGCACAGTATCTTTATGTTCGTTGACAAAGCGACAAGCAACTCGGCTCTATGAGCAACTAACGCGGGCAGCCACGCTTACCTGTCTGTTAGATTGCTCCAAGAGCGTCCTTTCTCAAGCCGCCCGTTCCGTCGCACGCTTGTCACAAATTCGAGAGCTTATTGGCAGTGTTGAACTGTATCTGCCCAGCATAAACTTGATTTCACATATTTTTTCAGGAGTCGATCGTTCTGCCCCTAAAATATTCCCGGCGGTGAAAAATGAATACGACGGAACAAAACAGCCAATAACTGCTCGAGGAAATCGAAGTGCTGGATCACCTCCCGCGGCGAACGACGTGAAACAATCTGACTCCAGGTTTGGTGCACGAGTGCGAAATGTGACTGCTACACCATTGAATGATGCAACTGGATCCTGAATCATTTCGCGTAGTCACTTCTACCGCCTTACGTTTTTGCTGCTTTCCTTCCTGGTTCCGTTGCTTCCTTCCTTGCTTCTGTCGCTTGAAAGTTTCAGCAGCCCTCCTTGCGTTACGGTTAGATAGAAAGACTCGGATTCTTGTTTCTGTTGTTGGCTGGTGCACAGAATCCATCATTTCTGCGCTTGTCTCATCCTCACGGCCGCTCCCTTCGTCTTTCCTTACGCCTCGCGTGCTCTTCCCGTGAGGAGACCCAGACCAGAGCGCTGCACATCGAACTGCGGCGCTGCACCACTCGAAATGCAAAATGTTTTGCGCGTTCTTCCCGCAAGAAGATATCGAGACGCATTTCCACTCTTGCTCGTGCCCCCTACTCGCTGACGAGCATTCAGCTTCACCACCACCTCCAGTTTTGGCGCGAAAGGGAAACTTCTGTACAAGCAATGATTACAGGCATCCAGCTAGGAAGCAGGGAGTGCGACGCTGGTTGCGCATGCGCGCTCTAGCTTTTGTCGGCTTAATGTAGTCGCGTACACTGACCATCCTTCGGAAAATCGCCTCGAAACTTGAGCCAGGCTAGTCTGTGGGGCTTTGAGAATACAACTGTTCTTGTTTATAGTCCCACGAACTGAGACGCCGCGCGCGGACTATGTGCGAAACCTTCAAACCCCGAGCAAAACGCGATACTTCTAGTCCCGTTCAGGAAAATTGCATGAAGAGTGGTCTGCTTGCTACTAGTCTTTGGATTTTGTCTTTTACGTAGATTCGGTTCCCGGCGCTGATCAATGTCGCATGACAAACGGGCAAAAAAAACAGAATCAATTATGGTTTGGGGGTCGAATAGAAGGTAAAAACTTCTCGTTTACCTTGTAAGCGAGGCGTGAGTTGCCATTGTCGAGCGCGCTGGAGACCGCGCGACAGGATGGAGAATTAATCACGCTCAAGAGAAACAACTACTAAAGTTTGAAGATCTAATCAAAGATCCTTTATTTCTCGTTCTCCCTGAATGTTGGGGCTGGTTCGATCTGGAGACTCTGATTGGCTGCGGAGCTGATTCGTGCAATGATTCGGTCAAGCTGCGAAATTACCCGCCAAAAAGGGACTATAGGAGTCGGGTGAACCGTAGGCGATATCGGAAAACTCTAGACAAGGGGGAAAAGAGCCTCTTTCAGCGAGAGCCCTTGTATTCATTTTTCCAAGGACTGCCGAACAAGACACTGGCTGTTCGTAAGAGGAGTGGCCAGCGCGACGAGGCGACACAATCCAAAGCCGCCCATACAGTTGTCATAAACAAAGTTCTCCGCGCGACGGGATGAAAAAATCGCGGGCCATTGCTGCTAGTACAGTACACTAAGACTGTATACAGACACTGTAGTCGTGCTTTGGTTTACGCCTCTCACCTTTCCCCGACGCTGCTCTCCGCCCTTGTGTCTCCTCCGATCCGACGCTGCGACGAGAAATGAGCTTCAAGCAAGGACAATTTTCTCCGCGGAAACGGGCCCTGCGGTGGTCGTGGTGCAACCGACCTGGCTTAAAGGAAACCTCCCCAGCTTGGCAGGCTCTTTCTCGAATATTGCTCTTCCGGCCACACCTCTACTAGTAGTAGCAGTCGTTCAATAATCTTGGCAGAGTGCTCTGCGGGGGCTCCGCGAGAAGCAGTCGTTTCCGAGTCCTCTCATACCTGTAGTACAGATTGACGCGTACGCGACCTCCGAGCTCCGATTCTGGAATCGAGATTTCCGTTTGGAAGAATCTATCAGCCCAGGAGTTCAAATCTCGTCGAAATTCCTTGTACGACTCGCCGAAGATGTGCGGTGCGAGTGTCCGGCGCCGGCCCACGGGCGCGACTCAATTCGGGAGTGTATACAACTTTTGAAGTCTGTGTTAGCCGGGATACTACTACGGGACGACAGTCACGCGCCAATCCTTTCCCACGATAGTACTACTAGTAGGCGTGACTGAGAATTCCACGCGACTCCACTCGACTCTGCCGGTGTCGCATGAGCGATACGCGACAGCATGGGCGACGCGTCGCACGACCACTGGCGAACTCAGGGCGGCGGCTTGAGGCTGAGCGGCGCGACTCAATTCGACGGCGCAGCAGCTGCCGCCGATGCCGTTTCGAGAAATGGTGTTGCGATTGAGGCGGCCGCGGCGCTGACGGCGGCGACGACGGTCACTGGCTTTACTACTACTAGCAGCAACGATCCCGCTGGCCGACCGTCCTGGTCGGCGACGTTCGCGTCATCGCGCCAGCAGTCGCACCAGTCGCAACAGTCGTCGCAATTTATAACCAGCTGGCCAGAGGCGGCGCCGGCGGATGTCGCGGCGTGTACCTTGAAACAGCCGCGGCGGGATTCGCGGCGAAAAGTGCCCATCCAACGGGAGTGGCCAACGGCTCCAGGAATCTCCGGATCCGCCGCGTCTCGAGCCGGCGCCGCCGGCAGTGACTCGACGGAGCGCCCGCGTAGTACTAAGGAGGACTACTCGACGGAGCCGGCTGCGCAGGCGCCGGCTGTGCGGGTGGCCAACCTCAGACTGAGCTTCGGCTCCGACAACTTGTCCGCGTTGCAAGCAGCTCCGTTGGTGGCGCTCGGAGCGTCACCAGCACAGGACTTCGCACAAGCAGCGGCGGCGGCGGCGGCGACGGCGGGGTCGCAGTCGCCGCGACAAGCGCTACGCGATCTTGCCGTGATTCAAGCGGCGCTCGATGCTTTCACTGAAGGTCGCGACGGCGGCGGCGGCGGCGGCGGCGGCGGCGGTCCAGCGGTCGATCCCGATACCAGGACGGCCCCAGCATGGGGAGAGCGGCAGTGCGCGATTGGCGGCACCGCGATCCCGATGCCAGACAGCCTCGGGCTGCCGCTTGCATGGCCGCAGCCGCCCCCGCCGCCGCCGCTCTTCTCCGCCACCAGCGCCGCCGCCGCAGCCGCCGCCGCCGTTTCCATTAATCTCCCGATCGCTTATACCAGCCCTATTAGCGGCGCTGCCGTCGGCGGAATCAACGGGGGAGGGGGTAGCGGAATCGGCGGGTCGATTCCGAAACGAGAGCGGGAGGCGGAGCGGGAAAGCGCGGCTGCCGGGTCTGCCGGTTCAAGCGGAGCCGCCGCGGGAACGTGGAGCCCCAGGCGACGCGTGACGCGGATGTGGCAGGGGAGTAGCGCGGGAGTCGCGCCAGCAAGAGGCGACTCGGAAAACGCGCCCGGCTCGAGTCGTGGCGGCGGCGGCGGCAGCGGCGGTGGCAGTGGCGGTGGTGGTGGTGGCGGCGGAGGAGAGGGAAACTGCGGGAATAGTGGCTTGAGTGGCGGCAGTGGGGGCGGCGCGGGGTTCAGGGGTTTAGAGGCATGGTATCCCCGAGCAAGCCTGCTGCGACCAGCTGAAGTCGCCGCTGCTGGCGCAGCCAGTATTGCTGGTGCTGCTGGTGGTGCTACAGCTGGTGGCAGCGAAAGGAGCGATGACAAGCAGGGCAAGAGGGACAAACACGACGAGAGCGCTGAAAACGACGAGAGGGTCATGCCTGATCTGGCTGCAGCAGGATCTGAGATCCTTGACCATGACTGCATCACTCTGCCGCCCAACACCAACACTGTGCCGCCCAGAACCACCATTCTGCCGCCACGTCAGCAGCAGTGCAAGAAGCTGGAAGTGCGCCCAGAACTCGCCTTGCTCTTACCTCGAGACATCGTGGGAGGGGCCACTCCTGATCCCTCACCCATCGCCCTCTCCTCCTCCTCCTCCTATCCCCCTGCAACAGCAGCGCAAGCCCACCTCCCCTACCCCACCTCGCTGTTCCCCTCCTCTGCCTCTGCCCCCTCTCGTGTCCCCACCCCTGGTTCGGTCTCAGCGTCGGTTTGTGGTTCGGCTCCTGGCTATACCCCTCCCTCTGCCTCTGCCTCTGCCTCTGCCTCTGCTGCTGTTTTTTCCACTCTAGGAAACCGCCTCGCCTCCCCGAGCGGTGGTGCGACCCCTGTCGCTCACTCCCTCTCTCACTATCACTCTCTCCACCACGGCTCCCTCCCTCGCACTCTTGCCGCCCAGCGCCGCTCCTCCTGGCCGAGCATCGCCGCCCGCGTCGAGTCTTCCTTCCCTTCACCTGACAAAGCACCTGGAGAAACACCTGAGATCCGACCTGAGATTACTCAAGCCGGCTCTCCGGCGACTCTCTCAGGTGGTCCCGGGATGGGCATAGGCATGCCAGCAGGAGCTACAGCGGCGGCAGCATCAGCAGCGGCGGCAGCGGCAGCAGCAGCAGAGGAGGGAGGAGCTTCCTTTCCATCACTTGGGCTGGTTCTCACCACACCATTCCAAGACCTCTCATACCCTTCTCACTTCCAACCAAGGCAGGCTCCCGCCGAGTCAGCTCAGCGGTTACCAGCGCACAACCTGTTACCGTTACTCCCGTCCTCCTCGTCCTCCTCTCCATCCTCCTCCTCATCTCCTTCATCCGTGTCCCTTACATCGGCGTCGTCGTCGCCCTCCCTGTTGCTCTCATCTTCAGCAGCAGCAGCAGCAGCAGTAGCAGCAGCAGCAGCAGCAGCAGCAGCACCGGCAGCAGCAACACCGGCAGCAGCAGTGGCAGCAGGGGCAGGAGCAGCAGCACCAGCAGCACGCATACTCGCCTTGAGGGGCCTGCGGCGCGTAGCCACTATGTCTGCTGCCCTGGGGTGGGAGCGAGGGGAGCGCGAGAGGGAGGAGCGTGAGAGAGGGCGAATGATTGAGAGAGGTTGCAGAGTGAGAGGGGGGGTGGAGAGAGGAGGAGGAGGAGGCGAACGAGGAGGGGGGGAGAGAGGAGACAACGACAACAGCACATGGGTATCAGCAGGTACCAGCCAAAGCACCCGTGTGGATTCTTCTCCCCAAACTGTCAATCTCTCTGCTCTTGCTGCCACTGCTGGTGCTGCCATTGCCGTTGCCACTGCCGCTCCCGCTGCCGCTGCTGCTGGTGGTGGTGATGACGGTGGTGTGGCCTCTCCTGCTTCTGTTGCAGCCTGCTCATCCCCCTCAAGTGTGAATGCGCCCTCACCTGCGTCCGGGCCTCCCACTGCTGCTTCCACTCCCCACCCACCTCCTCCTCAACCCCCTCCTCCTGCTGCTGCCTCTCCCCGCTTAGCAACATCTGCTGCTGCTGATTCTCCCACGCCTGTTCCAGACGATGCAGCAGCAGTGGCAGCAGCAGCAGCAGCAGCAGCAGCAGCCCTCACAGATTGCCTTGCCGCTGCTCTTGATCTATCAGACAACCCCCACGCCCCGTCGCCACCCTTCGCCCCTTCATCCCCTTTTGTCCCTTCGCCTCCCCTCATCCGGATGTCTCCCCATTTCCCGAACCAAGGCCAGCAGCAGCAGCAGCCACTTCTTGCCACCCAACCCAGGCGCAGCCACCCGAACCAGACCCGCAGGTCCGGCCCAGGCCTTCCGGCACGGCTCGGGCGATGCAGCCAAGCCTTGCGGGGTGGTTCGGCCGGGGTGCAAGCAGGGGTGATGCCTGCAGGGGCGACAGGATGTGAAAACAGTGAGGAGGCACACGAGATCTTGAAAGGAAAGCAGCAAGATCAGCACACGAAATCAGCGAGGAGGGAACAGTCGGTTCTCAACAGGCCTTCTAGGCCATATGACGATGATGATGGTGGGCATGATGGGGGTGGTAGACACATGCCTCTCGCTTCCTCGGATGCTGCAGGAGATGGGTGTGCAGGGCACATTGACAAGAAAGCACGGCTCTTTGGAGAGACCTCTGGAGTGCAGCAGCAGCCAGAGGTCCAGCAACAGCAAGAGCAGCTGCTTCCGCAACAGCAGCAGCAGCAGCAGGAGCAGCAGGAGCAGCAGCAGCAGCAGCAGCAGCAGCAGCAGCCGCCGCCGCCGCAGAAGCAGCAGCAGCAGCAGCAGCAGCAGCAGCAGCAGCAGCAGCAGCAGCAGCAGCAGCAGCAGCAGCAGCAGCGGCAGAAACGAGAGGAGAAAGAGCCACTGCCGCTGCCGTCGCAGCAGCAGCAACAGCAGCAGCAGCACCAGCAACAGAATCAGCAGGAGCAGCAACCCAATTCTACTGCTCCTGGTTCATCACCCCATTCCATGTCCCCCTCCCCTCCGTTCCATCCCATCCCTCTCCTACACAACCTCTTCCTCGGCCTGCCCTTGCGCCCTCCTCTCCCCACACTTCTCCCCACACCTCTCCCCACACCTCTCCCCACACCTCTCCCCACACCTCCCCCCTGTAATCTCCCCTCCACCAACCAGCTCTCCGCAGCAACAACAGCAAGTACAGCACCAGCAACATCAGCAACATCAGCAGCAGCAGCTGCAACAGTCCCAGCAGCAGCAGCAGCAGCAGGGGATAGCAATGCATCGGTGGCTGGCTCTCTGTCTCTTCCTCTTCCTGTGATCCCACTGTCATCGGAACGCTCCATAGTCCCTCGCAGTGCGTGGGCGCAAGGGCTTGTGGCCACTCACCTGGCTTCTCACCTGGCACCGCATCAGACTCACCTGGCACCGCATCAGACTCACCTGGCACCGCATCAGACTCACCTGGCACCGCATCAGACTCACCTGGCACTGCGTCAAACTCACCTGACCACACACCTGGCAACATCAGAAACACAGCAAGCGGCACCTCAAACACACCTGACAACTCACCTGGCGACTCCAACAACACACCTGGGGTTATCGCATGCACATGTGGCAACACACTGTGGCATGGCAGCAACATACTCACCCCAGGATGGCCCAGGGGCAGCAGACATGCACACGTTGCCGCACATGCAACCATTTCACGCACAATTGCCTATGTACAGGCAAACATGGCCACCGCACATCCGTATGCATATGCAGGCATTCCCCATGCACATGCAATTTCCCAAGCCCACATCCTTACCCATGCACATTCCCCAACCAGTGCACAACCCCTCTTCCCACGTGTCCGCGCCCCTGCCTGTAGACCCGACTACATCTGCTCCCACCCGTGCACCTGTACGCGTGCCGTCCGCCGATTTCGCCACTCTATTCTCTCTGACCCTGCCTGACAACGCTCCTCCACGCCAGGCATCCTCTCACGGCGCCCTTTGTACCACTCACGGCACGTCAGGCACATCTGCAACAGTCCCGTCGAAAGAGTCGGTTAAGATAATATTTCAACTTGGAGATGTGTTGGAAGCGACACAAGGGGGGGTCAAAGAGGGAAGTTTGGCGGGGAGAGTTGACGTGGTGTCCCAAGTAAGTGATGCGGAAGATAGTAGAAGCTCCGAAAGTAGTGTATCGAAGGGTATCTATATATTTGGCAAGTGGGTTCAAGATGGTCCAAATGGCAAGTAGAATGGTAGAGTCTAGTATGGTGAAATGCCCATGCCTGTAAAATTTATGTATGAGCTACATTTATGTAAGTAGAATGGTGGAAGAGGTTAAGAAAAAATGTGTTCTACCTGAGAAGCGGTGTTTGTTGAGGAACCAGACTATACAGAGTTCCAGATTGAGGAACGAGGCCATGCTGCGCTAAACGAATGAGCGAAGCAGAAGCTGGTGGTAACTAGTCGTGGACCCAAGGGAACACAGTTGAGCTCTCCCCACCCCAGTCCGTTGAGAATATATTCGCGCCAGGTTGTTGTAACCCTACAGTTTCTGTTGCTCAGAGAATTCACCAGGTTATTTGCTGCTATCGGTGGCCCCACGTATCGGGTCGCAGGATTCCGGTTTTTCGGGAAGTTATGTCAGAGAGTCCGCCAGGTAGAATGTGTACAAAACTCTCCACAACCTCGCCCCAGGAAACTTAGCCTGCGCTGCGCCTCAGCTGCCCAAGAATTTAACACATTGGCTTTGATGGTGCAATGTTTGTCCAAAGCTGTTGTCCCTAGCTGTGTTTGGAGCGTCAGGGCAGGATTCAGAGCGAAGTCAGTTAACGAATAAACGTATCTGCCCAAGTCCTGCGTAGAAAGTTCGAACCGCAGGTGATCGGGTCCCCTTCGCTGTTTCGTCCAAGTCTGTCTGCTCTCCTCCACTTATCGCTCTCCGCCATCCCACACTAACGTATCGCTCTCCGCCATCCCACACCAGCAGCAGCCCCACTTGCTCACTGTCCCCCTAGCTGCTGTACCTTCTCGCCCCCCTTCCCTTCTCTCCCTCCTTCCAGCCAATGCGGTAAACTGTACTATCACGACGAACCCCCGTGTTCCAAGGCTGTGCGTGCCATAACCCCTCTTCCACCCCGTCGTCCACCTCTCAACGTGTAGTGCTGTTCAGTACTCATTCGTTTTGCTTGTGATTCCGAGGAACAGGTCACATTAGGACTGCAGCTATCTAGCAAGCCTTTCAAACACACCTCCCATTAGAAACGCAGCAAGGGAGATTTCACAAATTTCGTTTCCATCAGAACCATCTGTCGTCAAGATGTTGCCACGCGTAGTTTACCTGCTTCTCTTCTCCGCCTTCCTCCTCCACTCTGCGTCGCACGCCGACGCCGGCAGGAACAGCCCGTTCAAAAATACCATAACGAAAATTCGAAGCCTTCCTTCGAAGTTTTTCAAAAGTAGGAACCGCGGCATCGGAAAGGGGGGGAGGATATCAAACTCGGGGAAAACCCAATCTTCAAATGCAGACGGGGTGGGTCCGATTATTTACAATGGCGGCCCGGTTGTGGTTGGCAGGCCGACAGTGAACATCTACTTAATCTACTACGGCAACTGGCCCAAGGGTTACGGGCAGAAAATCATCGAGAACTTCGTCAAATCTCTGAGCAGCACGAACGGGAAGCAGGGAGGCGGTGGCGAGAATTCTGTTAAGAACTGGTTCGCTATTACTGGGAATTACTACATGACGAACAACGAGACGAACAAGGACCGATACGTCGGCACAGAAGTACGTTTACTCTTTGGACGAGGGAAGCGTAGAGTGGGTTCGGGTCAATCGGAACATCGCTATACATGTGCGGCCTTCGCGACGTTCTGAGCCGTGCCCGTCCCGTCTCGCGCTATCTTACTCATCCGTTTGTCCGCCGCCATAGAAAACAGTCCGCTAAACGCATGAAGCGCTTCGCGTTTCTGCGTGTGCGCCATAATGCCCCCCTCCCTTGTTTAAGATCGTCACGAGTGCTCCTAAGCTGCGACTTGCTGCCTATGCCTGCTCTAATTTCCGTCCGGACACCCAGCTCCGCTCTAACCTTTCGCCTCTCTTTCCCCGTCCCTGTGTGAACCGCTGTGTCGCTCTCACCTGCCGTGTCTCTCGCCAGGTGCGCCTCGCAGGAGTGGCGTACGACGCATTTTCGCTGGGCAAAGGGCCACTCTCCGCCGCCGACATCGCCACAAGTATGTCGCTGCCGAAATTTTGCTCCGCGCTTTTATTCCTTGTCTCCGACTCTTCTGTTTCATCTCACCGTGTTATATTCCTTTCCTCCCTTTTTCCACCCTTTCCCCCTAGACTCCCTTTCCTCCTTGCCCCGCTCTCTCCTCTCCCTCCCCCCATTCGCTCCCATTCCCCGTTCCTTTTCCTTCTGCCGCAGTTCTTCCGTTCGACAGCTCCCGTCACGTCACTTGCTCATTGTTCCCTTTCCCCCACTCTCCCCCCTCTCCCTCCGCGCCCGCTCTCCACTTACCCGTCTTGCCGCTCTTCCTCCCCCACCCCCCACCTTCTCCGTGCAGTCGCGCGCTGGCAGATCGGCAAGGGCAAGTCGCTCAAGTACGATGCAAACGGCGTCTACTTCGTGCTAACGAGCAACATCGTGGAAGTTGACGGCTTCTGCACTAACTTCTGCGGCTGGCACACCAAGGCCGCGCACTATCTCGGCCCGTTCAACCTCGGCTTCGCCGGGGATCACGGCAGCTGCCCCGATCCTTGCATGCCTGAACCGTACGCGCTCAGTAACCTCCCTGTTTGTTTGTTTGTTTTTCCCCTTGCTGTTTTTTGTTCTCTTACCTTTTTTCTTGTTATTATTATGACTATGAAAAGTTTTTTAGGACGCCATTTTCGACTAATGATATATATTTTTATTTACCACATAGTCATTTTGCTCTACTCTCCGTTCTCGTCATCCACGTCCCCATTTTTCCCTCCCCCTCCCACTCCCCCAAGCCTTCCACCACCCTTACTCATTTCCAGCCGCTTGCTTTCCGCTCAGTGTTTCTCAATGGTTTCGACTCGTCCGTTCCAGCGTCCCCTTCCACTCTTTGTATCAACTCATTCCCCCTCTTCCATCCCCGCTTTACAGTGCCTCGCCTAATGGTAACACGGCTATGGACGCTACAGTCTCGACCCTCGCTAACAAGCTCGTAAACATCATCACGAACCCCGACACTGAGACGGGGTGGATGATGGGCGACGGTTCGGAGGTGTCCGATAATTGCGACAAGAATTACGGAAACGACACTATCGAGGTCAAGTACGCTCGTAACGCGGACGGGTTCCAGTACCGCTACAATCTCATCGGCAACAAAGGCATGAAGTTCCTTATATCGAAAGCGTGGGACCGCGTCGAGAACACGTGCATGCTGCAGAATGACCTGCCTGTAAGTGTGGGGAGGGAAGGCCGGATGGGGGAGTGGGGGAGATGTCAAGAAAGGGGAAGTCGGACTGGGAGGCAGGGGAGAGTGGGCGCAGAGGGAAAGGAGCTTGCACGTTGGCGGTTGGGATGGTTGGTGCTTGTGAATCGGTGTTGACTATCTGTGATGCTGTTGAGTCTTGACAGACTGTTCTCGTTTACTGAATGCTGCTCCTCTTCTCGTGCCCTTCCTCGACTGTTTTACAGGAGGACAGCACGTTGTGCCCCAACATACCTCGCTGGATTCGCCCTCGCCTGTGCGATGTCTTCAATCGATGCTGTTCGAACTAGTTTTCCCAGGGATCCGCGCTTCAAGTGCCACCCACGTTTTGCCATTCCACACTTGCCATTACTTCAAATATCTGGAGCCATGTCTGCGCCGCTCAAGTATTTGTTTCATTACTTGGTTCCTGAGTTCCTTCATTTCCTCCCTGAGCTGCCGTGGTTGGCTGTTCCCACTGTGCTGCTGTCATACCGCCTGTTTTTCCTGAGGCCCTTTGTTGTGACTAAAGCATTTGTGCATGTATTGTGCTGTTATATTAGACTTTCTGAACATGATTTTTTGTGGTGAGCGTTGTTTTTGAAAAAAAAAAATTGTGAAAGTTTATACACCGTTGCGTAACGGATGCTGCAAGGCCTTCAACCAGTAATTTGCTTCACTTTGTTTTTTCCATTGTAACCGTATCGCTCGCTATCAAAGCACCTTCCTCTAACGCACCTTCCTCAGAACCGTCGCGTTGACCAGTCTCGCCGCGCCCTCATGGAAAATGTTGAGCTAACAAACAACCTAAAACGAATGTGATACACGTGCGAGGAGCGGCTCAAATCGCAAGAAACTTTTTCTGGTCAGGAAACCCAAAGCTGCAAACCATACTTCTGTGAAACCCGTCAAATTGCATTGAGTTTCACAATCCAGCTTTTTTCTAGGGGTTTTTAGTTTTCCCGGAAGGACCACTGTAGCTTCCTTTCTTTCAAAGGACATTCATCTCAACTTGCGCACACTTTCCGCTGATCCGCTTCTGAGGCGGAAAAGTTATTGTGCTAACACAGAACTCGGCTTCTCCGCACGTCACGCAAGCACTGTTCTAATCGGATTTTCTTCTGCCAGCAAGCACAAAACTAAACCCCAAGTTTTCAAGGGCATCAACCCTAAATACCACGCGACAAGGTGTTTAGGGTTGATGCCATACATTAGCATGCCAGCCAAGAGGGATTTAGTTTTGGCATCAACCCTAAACACTTAGTCGCAAGGTGTTTATGGTTGATGCCCCTGACACTTGCCAGCCGAGAGGGATTTAGTTTAGTGCAGATAGAAAGGCAAAATAGTGTTATGCACTTAGATACGTGGGTAAATTTGGAATCGGTTTCTGTCTTAGCGCAGTAAGTCTTCTGTCTGGGCCGCAAAACCTGGGAAACTGTGTGCAGGTAGAAACAAAGTTCCCTAGAAAGCGCAGGTTCGGAAGTACCTCTTCCGCCGTAACTAAAAACCCTTTATCTGGTAGCTGGTTCAAAGTCGAGAATGTATAAGGGGAAGCAGGCACAGATTGGCTGGGGCCGACCTCTGGCTTCAACCAGCCGGTCAAGATCAGTGCATGCTGAACGTTAGCGGTTAGTCACCCTTCACAGCCTGCATTTATTGTTTCATGATGATTCGGCGCCTTGATTCCTCATCTTCCCGAATTAAAGGCGGGGTGCAACTTCTTGGGAACAGTAGGGGGACAAAAATGGCATGTGAGTAACTTGAATTCTACTGGACGAAAAAAAAGGAAAACCAGAAGAGGACAAACTTCTCGGCTCTGAACTGCCTGGGTCAACCTCTTCCAAGCTATAATACTTTGAAGTTGAAGTTGATAGTTGGGCCACGGCTTTAAATATAGAGTCGCAGAGCACACGCGATACTTTGGCACACTGAAAGCTTGCATGATGTACATTTCTAGAGCACCTTCAGAAGTGGTTGACAAAGGTTGTTTCTGTAAAAATCGTCCAACCCTAGTAAGGCGTGCTGGCTTTTTTCTAGCACTGGACGCATTATCCTGGGTAGACTCGGATCGGTCGGGAGTTGTGACTAGATTCGAGTCGAGCCGGAGCTATGGAATCAAGGGGTTGCGCAGCTGGCAGCTGTAAAATGGCTGGGCAGCTGGGGAGCTGGGGCGCTGGGGGCAGGTGGCGGCGAAGCGGGCCAAGTACGGGGCCAACATGGGAGAAAGACACCACCGCCACCAACAACCTCAAATCGGCTCGACAATTCGGCTCGGCTTGGCTTGTTGTTCCATTACAATGATAGAATGGACCAATCACAGACAAGCAAGGGTCCGCCCTTGGCCCACAGGCACAGGTTATGGGTTATGGGTTATGGTCATCATGTATGCCCATGACCATGAGTTGAAGCGTGGATACCCTTGCGAAGGAGCCGCAAAAGCGAATACTTCCCTCTCCGTGACCATTTTACACGGGCACAGCATTAGCTTCTTTCTTTTGCCGTCCCGACTAGGAGAGCATAGTAGAGTGTTTCGTTCGCAGAGGACACGTGGAGCAGCACTATCTGCGGGCGCGCTCTCGTCGCTCGTCGCTCGTCGCTCTTAAAAGTGTTGCTCGCCGCTCTTCGAAGCGTTGCTCGCCGCTCTTCGAAGCGTTGCTCGCCGCTCAACGCGTTCTGGCTGATCGAACCGCGAGAAACACACGGAAAGCAGCAGCTCCGCCAACCCCCGGTAGTACTGTGATACTATCCACTGGTCCTTACCAGCCCCTGGGCTCTGCCCGGCTTGCCCTTACTACACGCATCCGTTGCGACGCTTCCGGGGTTCAAGTCGACTCAGAACTCGCCTTTTTGGCCCCTGCGCTACCGGGCTTGCCCTGCTTTTACCGGTCCGGTGTGACTAAGCTTGCGAGCGACCCGTGCCGCGTTACTCGACTCGAAGCCGCACCGCTCTCGTCTCCTCTGACAGCTTTGACACAGCTCGGAACTCGATCTGGTGACGTTTTAAGACGCTTGCCGCGTTACCCTTGCAGAAGACAAGACTCATCACGTGGCTTAGCAAGCCTCACCTTTCTTCCTCTGACAACCAGGATTTGCCTTTTCCGCGCGTGTCGCCATTGCCGTTGTCATGGCTCTCCGCCCTTCCCGACGCTCAGCCCCCCTGCGCGCACTTTCCCTGCGCTCCGCCCCGCGCGGACTTTCCGCGCGCCTCGTCCCCATCCTCGTGCTCCTCCGCCTCTCCTACGCCGTTACCGCTGCCGTTCCGACGGACGACAACGCCTCGTCGATTCGCATCAAAGCTCTTCCGTCGCTGCTCCGCATCGCGAAGCCTCTCGCGAATTCCCTCGCGAATCCCGTCGACCCTGCTACGACGACTGCGGCCGCTGCTACTGAAGGCAGTGATGCTGCGGCGGCTGCGTCCCCAGCTGCGCCTACTAATAAACACCCGCAAGCGAAGACCACCCACTCTTCATTCGGCCTTCCGCGGAGATCTGGCTTCCGCGCTACCGGCGCAGCGGCTTCCGCCACTCCCGCTGCCGCCGCCGCCAACGACGCCGCCGCCGCCGCCGCGAGCAAAATGGCCGCCGTCCAGCCGCAATGGCGCAAAGGCCCGATTCGGTATTTAGGCGGTCCGGTGGTCGCGTCAGCAACGCTCGACGTGTACTTAATCTACTACGGCTCCTGGCCCGCGGGCAGCGGGCAGGAAGTGTTCGAAAATTTCGTGCGGTCGTTAAGTAGCACCACGGAGCAGGGCGGCCGCAGAGGCGGCAGCGGCGGCGTGGCGACCGTGAAGCAATGGTGGGGGATTTCGGCGGGGTATTACATGGCGGCGGACGGGAGCAGTCGATATGTTAGCTCGAAGGTGAGACGGGGGGAACGGGGAGGAAAAGATATTGGGATAGGTGGGGGAAGAGGTGGGGGAAGAGGTGGGGGAAGAGTGGGGAGGGGGGAGAGGGGGGCGAAGAGGGGTAAGGGCGAATCAGAAGTTGCTGCCAGCAGCATGTGGGCAACTCATCTCTGCTTACAATCCCCTCGTCTTATAGTCACCCTTGTCGCGCTCTTCCCTTGTCTCCGTCCCCTCCCGTGGAATTGCATGGCATGGCATGGCATGGCATGGCACATCAACGCCACCAGGTGCGGCTGGCGGGAGTGGCGTATGACGACTACTCGCAGGGGCGCACGGGGCTCACCGAAGGCTTCGTCGCCGCCTGTAAGTCGCACGCGGGGCTTGTGTGTTTCGGCGGGGCCGTGTGTGTGGTTCGGTGGGGCTTGTGTGGTTCGGCGGGGCTTGTGTGGTTCGGAAGGACGTGTGTGGTTCGGCGGGTGGGGCGTGTGAGTTGATGTGATGAGGCTGGCTGTCAGCCTCTGCGGCGTCTTGTCTGCACCAACCCACCCTCCCACCATCACCGCTCCTCCCTGCCCCTTCCCATCCCGTCCCTTCCCATCCCGCTCTCATCCCCCCTGCTCTCCGCCCCTGCCCGCCCCATTCCCCCCCACCTGCCCTCCCCACTCCCCTCCCTATCTGTTTCTCTCTCCAGCCGTGAAGCACGTACTCACAGCGGGCGACCTGCCGTTTGACAGCAGCGCCATCTACATGCTGATGGGCAGCAAGGACGTGCGCGTGTCGGGGTTTTGCACCGACTACTGCGGCTGGCACTCCCTGGCGTCGCACAACGGGGCGAACCTCGTGTACGGGTTTCTGGGCCACCACGGCGCCTGCCTCAACGGCTGCATGACACAGAAGGGGTGAGACTAAAGGGGCATGGGTGGGGGAATGGGAGGGGGATGGGTGGGGGGAAACGAGACTGGGCACAACGGGGCGAGCCTCTTGTACGGGTTCCTGGGGCACCACGGCGCGTGCCCCAATGGCTGCATGACACAGAAGGGGTGAGGTGGAGGGGAGGGGAGGGGAGGGGAGGGGAGGGGAGGGGAGGGGAGGGGAGGTGAGGTGAGGGGAGGGGAGGTGAGGTGAGGGGAGGGGAGGGGGGAAGATGTGTGCGGTTGTGTATGGGCCCCTGGGGCACAACGGTGCATGCCCCAACCCGTGCATGAAAGCACATTCCCCAACATCAATCCCCAGGGGTGGATGCTACAGTGTGTCACTATAGTGCATGACAGCACATCCTCTTTCCCTCTTTTCTCCCTCCTTCGTCTCATCCTGCCGTCCTATCATCCTTCCTTGTCTAATCCTTCCTTGCCTCATCCTGCCCCCCACCCTTTCCCCCACCCCTCTCCCCACTCCCTTCCTCTTCTCCCACGACAGCACCTCTCCCAACAACAACCCCGGGATCGACGCTACGGTCTCCACTCTCGC